CTTTCTGGCATATGAGTTGTTGATCCTAGGTTGTAGTGCTGCAACCTGAGTGTTCGTGTGGGCTAAAGACATTGAGCGTGATGTGCTTGAAAGAAGATTACCAGGGTACTCTCCGGGGTAGGCGGGAGCAGCTCATTTACACGGATAGAAGCCGAACTGCCTCTTGAAGAAACTTGAAGGAAGGAATTCAACTTCAAATTGTGATAATGAGAACTATCGTACATGATGGTCTAGATATAGGAAAAAGTGAAAGGAAAGAGCCAAAACCTCTACAGTGAAACAAACTTCTACAGTAAATGAAACAAACCTCTATAGTAAAACAGTTTAGCATCAAACAAAAGAAAACTTGTAGTACAATCTGAACTGTTTCCTTCTTGTGTCATTTGAGGGATAGGAGAAACAGTTTCAACACCTCTAGAATGGCATCCTAGAGGCTCTCCTACCTCCTGATGTATCACGATCCCTAAAATAACGCAGATTCGCGGACTGCCAGATAAAGTCGTCTCAAGGAGGAAGAGAAGCGCACGCGTAGCTGCGTATCACATGGCGTAAAGCTGGACCTGCTGTTGGCTTGCGAGAACTGGCTGCATTCGAGACACGGATGGATGCAGCCACCAAGAGCGCCTGAATCCGCAAGCTTCGGCCATCTTGACCGTGGTTGGATGCTTTGTGTATGGAGAGGTTGTGCAGCGAAGTGCGGCGAAGCAGCAAACGGGTTACAGAATGATATGGCGGCACGCAAGTAGGGACTGGATCGACATCCTCCAGCCGCCTTCTCTCTTCCAACGGCGTCGTTTGGACGGGAGGAGCATAGGTGCATGGGGACGGTGCAAGGCTGAAGCTCACGGGTGGGAGTGCAACCAGCCACCATCCATGGCAGGCAGGGTGCTCATTGGTCTGAGGGGCGAGGGACGCGAGACCATGGAACGGCACGCAAGTTAATGGATGCTGGTTGGGCGTTAAAAGTTGCTTGTGGGGACGAGAAGACATGGGGATGCTGCGAGGCTGAAGATCATCGCGGCAGTGCAACCAACCAAGATCCTTGGCAGGTAACTAAATCGAAGGGGCGAGGCTGAAACGTCTTAGACACCCGCGTTTTGTCCTTCTAGATCCCGCTTTTGAAGGTTTTCTTTCTTACTCTTACTCTTGTGTCCCCTTTGCCCTATTCCTACGCCTACAGATTTCAAGCCTTGGCAAGGTTATGGCCTCCATCAGCTTTCTTCAAGATTTACTAGCATCTTTTGGCAAGTGGCAGTTTCTGTCGACTTTGGCCGTTGGTGGCTACCTGCTTCTTGTGCGCACTCTTCGATATAGACGGCGAGATAGCGTCGCGGACAAATTCAAGTATCCGGATCGGGAATCTTGGGCACGAATGACCCTCTCTGATGCTCATGCAATTCAGCTCTCTTTGGCCGAATTGGAGTTTCCCAAAGTCTTCTCTATCGCAGTATTCTTTGCCTTGTTTAAGGTAGCACACCTTGCCCCTACTACTATGCTTTCCTTAACAGCCTCTCAGACGTATGGTATTCCGACTATTTCCAATCTCCTGGTAGCGACGGGACAGCTTTCAAGTCCAACTACAGCATCCAAACGCGCTGCGGATACAGGCGTAATCATCACCGAGGTCGTCCTAAACAGGCCGGATTCATCACGGACTATCGATGGCATAGCACGCATGAATTACCTACATGGCAGGTGCGTAAGGTCTTAATGCACATGCTAGAACTTTTGTTGGCAGTGTTCCTGAAAGTATAACTTGAACAATGAATGGTCTTCAAATACGACGCCACTACACGTTCAAGACGCCAATTTCAGGGAATTGGACGACGACGGAGCTAATATTTCTCCGACACCCCTCTTCTTTATGAACACCTGCTAACGTGTACTGGCCCCTTTGAAGGCACATGAAGGCTGGCAAAATCTCCAACGATGACATGCTTTATACTTTAAGTCTTTTCGTTTTAGAGCCTATTAGATGGACTTCAAGATTCGAATGGCGACACATAACAGACTTAGAGAGGTGCGCAATGGGCGTTTACTGGAAGGACTTGGGCGAAGCCATGAACATTTCCTACCAATCACTTACTTCCAGTGAATGGCAGGATGGCTTCCACTGGCTTGAAGAGCTTGAAACTTGGAGCCTTAGGTATGAGATGCAGAAGATGGTTCCTGACGACGCGAATGCGAGGCTCGCCCGAGCTACTTTCGATATCGCGTTATTCAATCTACCAAAATCGTTCAAGCCCCTTGGCTACAAGATTGCGTCATCTCTACTAGAGCCACGACTCCTCAAAGCTATGAAGTAAGCCGGCTTTTACTCGCAGAAGAGAAAGCTACTGACAGTGCGTAAGACTAGGAGAACCTCCAGCTTTGTACGCGAGTACACTTAATGCCATTGTGGGAATCCGGAAGTTCATCCTACGCCACTTCTTCCTGCCGCGGCCATATTCCCAGCGCGTCAAGTGGTTTTCGCAGTCCGACCCACATACCGGTTGCTCTAATTTCATGAGGTATACTGCTCATCCTTGGTATATCAAGCCATCACTTTCAGCAAGGTGGGGATGGAAAGCTTGGCTGATTTGGCTTGCTGGCGGCGTTCTCCCGGGCGACGAGAAGTACTTTCCTGGCGGTTATCAGATAGGTACGCTGGGACCTACAGCACTTGCATCCAAGGGTGGAGCGGAGATGGGAAAGACGCGTGAAGAATTGAAGGCTAAGAGAGCTGGATGTTGCGTTCACAGATAGCTAGGTAGTCATATTATCAACTATCGATCCATCAACTCATTGACTTGTAGTCAGCCAGCGAAGGGACTGTTTCTACCTGCGTCGCAAAGTACTTCATCCGTGCGATCGCGCGCTAGGATATCATCATCCCTCTTATGTATTCTCGGCGGCCACATACGGGAACCATAGTGCCAGCATGAGCAGATTCGAGTGCCCTCCCCGAGGACATAAGGAACAATTTCACGGCGAGAGCAGGTGTGATAGCTCAGTTAGTCCCTTCAAACTCTCTCGTGACTTGGGGCGAACCTCTAAGCCACACGTCTTCAGTTCTCCCCGGTCATTACGCATGACCCGCATGCTCTTCCATCACCGATCTCCCGTCGCAAGCTTCCCTGGCACAGTCACACGCTACAATCTGGGGCGCGAAGGAAGCGCTGTGGAATGCATCATGGGTGAACGGTATCTGCGAATACATAGGTAACGGGTGTGGTGGATCTTTTGTGCAAGAGAAAAACCACCCGGCTTGACGTTGATATGCCTCATAGCTCCGTCCTCGGTCACCTGAGCCGAAAGTTCCGACCAGCACTGTGGCACATCTGTATTTGAAAATCGGCTTGACACGATACGGCCTTTCGAGTGTGCCACTATACCACTTTTTCTTTCTTCTTGCCTAGCGTGGGGTTCCTAGTGCCTGGGGGTTCCAAGTGCCCACCTGCAGGTGGGGGTCTCCGCCCCAGCAACCGCGCCGCGTTACACTACAAAACAAATCTGCGCCATGTAGTTAACTAGGCATCCAACAATTTGTCATACCTGCAACAATGGACCTGAAAAATCATCCTTCTACGCCCCCGCAAGATCGCATCCTCTCGTGGCTCGACTTTAAGCACAAGTCCTGCCTCCCTCTCACGCCTCCCGCCGACGACCATGCTAAGCTGCGTGCAGGATGCCCCCTGAAGCGGAAGCGCACCACTGGCGTGCCTGTGGAGACACCTGCCATAGTAATTTGGCTGGCCTGTGTCGCAATCTGCATTGATTGAGTTGGTTCCTGTCTACCTACAACACTCTGCGCTTGTTGTGCGCGAGCAGTAGTCTTACGAGCTCGCCGGAGATGCGACGTTCCTCCACATGATCCTGGCCCTCCACCACGCCGTCGTGCTCGCTGTGCTATACTCACTGGATCCTGTTGAGCATCATGTTCGAACTGAGATAGATGACGCTGAGTTGAGTTGATAGATACACCACCACGGCCACGCATTGATCGACTTCATGCCTTCCTCAATGGAGGCGTGGCGGCCCCAGGGGGCCGGCCGGAGGGGCATGGTGTTGAAGTGTTGATGTAGAGGAAGTGGTGTTGATGCATCAAGAAAGAGTGCGTAGGTGATGTAAATTCCTCATTGAGCACGAGCAGGCAAGCGAGTGAGTTTGATTGGTGGAACAATATTAATACAGGCCGGAGCTAGGCTTAATCCAGGGGGGGGGGGGGGGGGGGGATATGCAAAGAAAAAGGGGGTGATACGCAGAGAAAGGGGGGGTGATGATTAAGGTGTTCCGCAGTAAGTAGCGGTGGAATAACCTAAAGGGATGCACTTGAGCGGCTAGTTCCGAAGGTGAAAGTAAAGCAGAGCGATGAATGTAAAACGCGTTGAACCTGCCATACAAAAGCCGCATATGTTTCTGGCTTCCAGCATCACCTCTACCATACCACCGAAACGACTATCACCACCACCTCCACCAGAAGTCCAAGAGAAAATCTATATCAACCATGTCATTCTCTGACCTCCCTATCGAGCTACTTCTCAAGACAGCGTCATACCTCGAAGACTCATCGCTAAGTAGACTCTCCAGGGCTTGTGCAGGGCTTCATAAGCATCTAGAAGGGGAACTGTACAAGCGCGCCACCACAGATCGACCCGTAAGTAGGTACCAATGCATTTCTCTGATCCCAGCAATAGCCTGGGCCGTAGACAACCATGAGGTTGGCGCTTGTGCGCTACCTCTTGTCCCACGACGTTACAGGCAACGATCCTGATACCGGCACCTGGGACGTCTCTGATCATTCAACTCACCGCGACTTCTGGAACACCGACATCGCCACTCTGTTCGTCCGTAAGGCTGCTGAACTTGAAATTCTCGACCGCAGGAGGGCGACCGGTGTCCTGGGCAGGATCATCGGCTGTACTTGGTCTCGTTGGCCTGCGGGGTCCGATGGACTTGAACTAATGGAGCTACTGCTTTCGAGATGCAATGCTTCAGCGAAAAGTGAGCTTCTTCATGCGACGAAGGACCCTTAGGTCATCACACTCCTAGCAAAACACGGAGCGGATGTCAACTATTTGGATCACCACGGTACCCCAGTCCTGTTCCGGATGATTTATGAAATTGGCGACGAAAACATCATCAGTTCTGTCGTCCGCACGCTTCTAGAAGCAGGCGCAGATCCAAATCGATGCTCGTCTGCGCGGCCTGGGTACACCCCGCTTGGAGCAGCTATCGACCGACGCTTTTTCGGGACAGCAATGACATTGATCAAGTCCGACCCCTCTCTTGCTGTCAAAGGCTTTAACAGTAGGGGCGGACAACCTACCAGCCCCCTGCACCAAGTCGTACGGGAGCCGCTGGGTCTCAACCCTGAAGGCCAGCTAGAGCTCACTCGAACACTCATCGAGCTTGGTGCTAAAGTATTCGACAGTCATCTGGATCCCGCGCTGATGCTTTTCTATGGTTCCAATGGCGGCGACATGATCACTCTGCTGCTCGAGCATGGAGCTGATCCGGACAAGCCAGGTGCCGAAGGCCGTAACTTCTTGCAGCGATTTTTGAATTGTCTTGGCAAAAATATCGATTGGGGTTTTAAATTGGACGTCCTCACCCGGGTAGCAACGAAGAAGAAGTTGCCTGGGTTACTTCCTGGGGAAGTTATCGTGTGGAACGCTGAGATTGCTCTGCATGAGATGCAGATGATTCCGAAGACCCGTGGAAATGTCTCTGGGGGCTTTGCATGGGCGAAAAAACGGTTGGCATACATATGGGAACCGCTCGAAGGGGTCGTGAAGACATTTGAACCCGAGGAGTTCCCCTTCGCCGCGGATATCCATCGTTTCTGGAACCAGCACCACGTTGAGGTCGAAGGTTATCTCGGCGAATCAGTTACGTTGATGAACGGGTTGTGAGAACAGACATTGCATTTTGCTCAGGCGGGTTCTCTATCGCCATCTTAGTGGGAAATGACTGGATGAAACGAATTGTATTTGAGGGAATGATAGTTCAGGGACTTCGGATGGGCTGGACCGGACGGCATTCCGAACCTTTCAGTCTTTTCTCATAGGTAGCTTTACACTATTCACTCGCAATGGTCGCTCCATAGTCTGAAGAAGAGGTATTTTCCTGGCTATGTATCACGCTCGTTAAAAAATCACACTCATTGAATACCACTCTCATTATGTCCATCACCGCGGCCGCGGCCGCCGCCTCCGCCGCCCTCCCTCCACTCCCTACAGCCCCCTCCCCCTACCTCTGCATCGGTGACGAGACCTATCCCACCACCTGCTCAATCCGCCAGAGCCTCATCGCCAACGGCAGCTGCGCTTCCTACAACCAGCTCCAATACTGCTGCAACGGCGGCATCATCAAGCCCTGTGGCCGCTCTTCGTCGCCAACGCGAAGAACATATCTGTAGAGCTCCCCAACCTGCGCTGTTGTTTGGGTGATCCCTTCTGCGCGCTTGGTGACACTACGACGTGTAGCGAGGGGCAGCAGGAGATCCCGCTGGCTGAGGCGATTAATGGAGACAGTGATGGGTGGAGAGAGAGTGTTGTGACGAGTTGGACGGATACTTATGGTCTTGAGGTGGAGCCCGTGTGTATCTGGATGGCAAAAAGCGTAGAAGGGGGCAGCGCGTCATTGCCGCTGAGCGGGAAGGGGTGTACAAAGGCGGTCTTGTCGACGACTATGAGCAGCGACATTTTTACGACGAGCGAGTTGAGTGGCACTTCCTCGACTGCCCCAGGCGGACGTGTTATTTCAGCGAGCGCATCTTATTCATCGACTGTAAGCATCACAGGATCAAGCTTCGTGGTGGCCTCGAGATCGCAGCTGCAATCACCATCTCTAACCTCCACTTCAGGCGGAGACAGAAGTATCGTTCCTGTCTGGTTTATAGCATGTCTTTTCATGTCTCATAGTTTGTTAAATTAATACACAAAGATTCTCCTCTTCACGGGCTTGCAAACTGTACTCATGTTTCCCAACGACTGTCAAAAGGGTCTAAGAAGTGCCCATTATCCTCTGTCACAATTCTCGTCCATATTCGTTTTTGTTATGGGTTCTTTTTACCCGTCTGAGTCGAAAACAAGGTTAACTTCAATAAGATCTCGTCGGTCTCAAGCAGCGTCTTGCAGCGTCTTGCAGCGTCTTTCTTCAAGCAATGTCAAGTTGCGGGTGTGCCTCAAGATGAAACGTAGACGTGCAATATGAAATGTAAGGCCTATAGAGTTCATGGGCTCAAGAATAATATACCAGTCACCAGAGCTTGATAGACCAGGTCGAATCTGTAGGCTAGTAATCTTTACATCCGTGGTGAGTAGACTTTACATAATATGAGGGTGTCTGAAAAGTATATCAGGGTGCGCAAAATGAACGGCGCACTCAATTGATTTAGAAGCTCAGCATTGCATCTGACGAACTCTTGCAGACTTAGAGGGGTGCTGTAATTTCTTATTCAGGTACCCATTCATGCCCCCTTCCACTCTAATCTCGATCTCAGAACAGTGAACAATCATGAAACTTGCATTCGAGCAGGAGTGACCACCCCAGCTATCAATCGTTCAAGCACGGTCACGAAGATTCAGCTTACTGTATGATCTATACCCAAGCTTCGTCGCATAGTCTTGCTTAAACGCGTTCCTCGCAGACGCGGGACTCCGCGAGCCCTCCTGGCTCAGATACAGATAACCGCGGATCTTCTTGAACCAGTCCGCCTTCCTCGACTCGCTGGGATTGTGAAGATTCTACTCCATTAGTAGTCTCGTGGGCGGGAACTGGCTTGCTATACAGATCCTTCGGTACGAGGTCATCTCCACCATAGAGTGGGGAAAGAGTTTCCAACTTCCACAGGTCACGTCCATAGTCCGTGCGTCCACCATAGCTGAAGCTACGAAGCGTATGAATCTCCTTGTCCCCATATCCGCGCTTGCAGACATCTTGTATAAGATCAGAAACAACATTCAAGACTGGTGCTGAGCGGCCTTCCTTGACATTCTTGGTGCCATTCCCGTAGGTATTGTTCTTAGCTCGGCCTGTCCGAGACAAAATGGCAAAAGTGGTCTCGCCCGAGTGGCCCCAGGGGTCGATACCAGTAACCGCTGGAGCCTCCCCAAACGCCCGAAAAATCCCTTCGCAAGTCCGGTGCATGGAAAGCCAGTCAAAGCAGAAATCGGGCGCCCCGTAGGACAGCCCGCACCGCAGCCAGACGCACGCGGTGAAGTCCGAAAGAGAAGGCGTATCTCGCCACTTATTCCCAGACAGCTCGTGCTGGCTGTGAGTTCGCGTGGCAATATGTTTCCACACCTGGTCGTCCCTGAACATTTCTCGAAGCTTTGCCGTATCGCAATCTACATTGTCCCACATGCCACTGACGCGTTCGTTGAGGATTTCGAAGAACAGGCTCTGGCCCTTGGTGAAGCGACGGACTTTCTTGTTGAGCTTGACGCTGGCGCTGCGCCGACCCCTCGCAGTCCCGTTCGAAGGCATGCCAATGACCAAAAGGAACTTGTTTTCCGAATCCTGCAAGGCCTGGGGCCATCCGCCGAAGAACAGATGTTCTGAAGTCTGGCGGGCAATGAGGAACTCCATATCAGCCCACTTTGGACTCTGAGGATGAAGGATTCTGCACGCAGCATACAGGTGAGCCATGCTCATCACGTGCATCTGTTCGCTCGCCGTGTAATGGTCTTTGTGGTGGCGTTGCATGAGCGCGTAGTATTTCAGGAGCCCACAACGTAGTGGGTTGGAGCGGAGGTAGTAGTGTTCCGTGCTTGGATCTAATCCTAAGAAGACTTCGTCTGCTAGAACCCAAGGCGGGCCCCTCTCGAGACTGAACTTGTCCTCCAAGACGTAGGCACGAACCCCCCCCCCCCGGGCCATGATGGTGTTCAAATCTTTACGCATTTCGGACTTGTTCTTCTGGTGAGTAGCTAATAGTTCGAAGTAGGCTGTATGCCCTTCGTGCCACTTTAGCGCTTGACGAACGGTATTTTTGACGTCATCCAAATGCTGGCGTGTTTCGGGCCCAAGAATGTCTTGGGTGTAGACGAACATTTGGGCAGCAAAAGTGAGCCAGATCGGAACTTCCTTATTAAGTAGGAGATGTCGCATTCCGTAGCTGAACTCGTCTTCGGCAAATCTACATGGGGAAGCACTAGCAATCTTGCAGATCTCAGGAAGGCATTCCGCTAGTCGTACAATGCGGGGATCTTCTCCAGCGTCACGGAGGACCGAAGCAAATCCTACGGTAATGGTGAACTTTCCTCTCGGTGAATCCTTTTTAGGCACGTAGTTCTTCAAGAGAGAGTAAACCTTGAACATTGTAATCTCTTCCAACCTCATAGGTTTCGAGGGTGTACCATAGAACTGTGAAGGCAGAATGACCTCATCTTTAGGGAGATCTGCCCGGTTGACCAGACTTTCGAAGAGCAGAACACACGGCAAGCACCAGGTCGGATACTTCGACAATGGGCATTCCTTTGGCCGCGTGATGCTGTGATCGAATTCCAGCTCAGATAAGCGCACGAAAGCGATGGCGGTGTATGTCGTCACCGAAGCAATGAGTAATTTTCCGCGGCCTTCTTTGTAGCTCTTCCACGATCGGCCGAGATACTGGCGTAGTTCTTGTAGACCGCCCAGAAAGCATTGAATGGCGAACAGAAACTCGGCTTTGACCTCTTCCTCGTCTCGTTCGATCTAAGCACGCGGCATCGGAGGGTGAGAAGGATTGGAGGCTGCATCTGTTCCCATTTCGGCGGCATCGTCGCAGTCGGAGTCGTCGATGTTGTATTCCACGGTCAGATTTTCGAACAAAGTGGACGTGTTTTCGATGGAAGGTGTGGCTTCTGAGAGCCTTGACGTAGCATCCGTGGGCTTTGATGTGGCTACTAGGGGAAAAAGAAGTCGGAAAGTTTCCTAGAGAGAATGTTAAAAGAGCTGATCACCCGCAAGAAGGCAGTGCAAGGGGTTGATCCGTACGCACCTCAAGAATGCCAATGAAGTAAACATGCTTGCTGTTACTATCTTTTTCTTGTTGGGAATGCTGGCTGAACCAGTCTGCGCACTTGCGTCGGGCAGTAATTGCTCTCGAGAAGAGTCGACGTACAATGGCTGGAACTGAGAGGTTATAGGAGGCGATGAGGTGCGCCATAGGAACAAAGTCGGAGACTCTCATCTTGTATTGCGCTGCAGGGTCGCCGTAACCTCCAGGCGCTGCCTGCTTAGCTGCTTCTCGAGCGATCTTCCGGGCTTTTCCTTTCAATCGCGCGCTGGCGGCGTGACGCTGCCCTTCACTGGGTCCCTCGCTGAGAATTTCGGTATCATAACCGTACCACTTCAATGTCTCTGGCAGCCAACCCCCGATTTTCTCAGTGTCGGACTTATACTGCATGTACGTGTGGAAGAGATTTTTCGGGGTCGTCGAGGGGGTATTTGTCTAGGAAGCCATGATGGAAACTTCTAATTAGACGTTAGCACTTCAATCTATTTTAGAGACTTGAAAGAGAGAGAACTTACCTGCTGTCTTGGTTAATGTCTTGCCAGGCTACCTCAGGTGGTGGTGGATGGGTGTGAGCAGATTTTGTGTGTCGACGATTTCTGGTGGGTTCTAGTAGCTGGCCCAGAGGAAATGATGTGGTCGGGCTTATAAACGTATGTATCGATAAAGCTACAAGTTCGTCTCGTGGCAGCCCATTCACTTACCTACTCGACACGGGTCACGTGCACTCCAACTGCTGTTCTGACACATCTTGAAAGATAGGTCTGCAAAACACTCTCTGGCAAAAGGCGGGAAATAGAAGTCTGAATATGCATCTATAAACGCGATACTTAAAGAAAAGCATTACTTCATCTGATAAAAAGCACGATCAAGGAGAGAGGCCGATGAAATGAAAAGCGACGAAATAATCATATATCGATCAGAGAAAAAGAAAAGCCTACGCATGCGACGAGGGACGAAGTTCCTGACATACCTATATGATAGTTATATGCGATGCCTCTGCAAAGTAAGATTACCTCGGGAAGCAATCGTCGCCAAGGAATCGATTGTTTCCCACTCGTCTCATGCCCTCGCGCTGCAAGATCGATTGCTATCACACAGACTCGGCAATTGCTCCTGGATAGAAGTTAACAATCCGAAGTCATAGTCAAGAGGAACTCAAGAAGAGACCCGGATGTCATGTGCCCCGGAGCTCGGGAAGCCGGGCATCTCAGCAGCCCGAGCCGAGTGCACATCCTCCCTGCATAAAAGAACCCCTTCTCCACAATCTACCCCAGAAACATCCCAACAATAGTCCCCTACCCCACATCTCCATGGACACCATTCAAACCGTCGAGCTAACCCTCGACGTCACCGCAGCCGCAAACATCAACGAGCCAGCCCACCAAGCCGCCACAGTCGTTCTCCCACCCGCGTCCAAGCTTCCCCAAACCCCCATCATCTGCTTCGCGCGACCTGGCGTCCAATACAACCGCCTCTACTACACGCACGACCTCCCGGGCGAGGGCCCCGGCTCCGAAGCGCACTACCATGCCGCCCACGGCTGGATCTTCGTCGCGCTCGACTACCTCGGCGCGGGGGACAGCAGCAACAACGACGGCAGCAAGCTCACCTACGCTACCGTCGCGCGCGCGTTCCTAGCTGCTGAGACAGAGGTCCTGCGACAGCTGGCGGAAGGCGAGCTGCTCTCCGGATACCCGAAAGTGACCGACGTGCTGAAGATTGGTGTCGGCCAGTCAATGGGTGGCGCGCTAGCGATTGTCCAAACCGGCCGCTACCACTGCTATGATGGTGTTGCGATCCTAGGGGCTAGTGCGATACACACGCATCCGCCGGGGAAGCCGGGAGAGGCAGGGATTGTGGCGCCGTGGCTGGCGCGAGACACAGCGCCAGGAGAGCCGCCGGTGGTGTTGAACCAGAAAACGATGGAGGAGTTCTATAAGAACCGGCCACCGGGGTATAAATCCTCAAAGGCGCTGGTGTGGTCTTTCCACTACGACGACGTGGATCCGGCGCTGGTCGCTGACGACTTCCAGCGGTATGATCGCGATGTTGGAGACGCGTCGGAGGTGGATAGAGGAGATCAGAAGGTGGTCGTGCCGCCGTGGGGTTGCTTCAATACGCCGGCGTCGGCGGCGATGGCGTCGGTCACCCCGGGAGCTGTTGCGCCTGAGGCAGCTGCTATTACGTGTCCAGTTTTGGTTGCGATGGGTGAGCGGGATGTGATTGCGGACCCGAAGGGAGAGCCGAGGGCGTACCACTCCGCGATTAGCGTGGATTTGTATGTGGTTCCAAGAATGGGACATATGCATAACTTTGCGGGGACGAGAGAACTATTATGGAAGAGAATTGAAACTTGGGCAGAGTGGGTAAGGGCAGTTAAGGAATGGGAGAAGGAATAATTTCAGAATAGATTCCGCGAAATGCTGAGCGTAGTCATAGGCGATGCGGCCTCCGGCTATCGAGCGAGGGGTGAACGGCCTTTCACAGTCATGAGATGTGCTTCTTCTAAATTTATGAAATGATATTGAAGTCGCCAACAACAGAAGATGGGTGTTGGGAGGGTTGCTCCTTCATCCTGGGCGGGTGATGTTTAGGGCAAAGTTTGCAGTGCTTCCTCTTCCTTAGATTTCTGAGAATACCAAAATCGGTCTTGCGGGACTTCTTAGAGCCATCTGATTGGAAGGGATACTTGTCGGTTGAAATTGGCCTGCTTGTGAGCTCTTGCTGTCTGGTAAAGGAGGATAGTAAACAATTTCGAAATTTCTCTTTACGCAGCGCCCGCATAAGAAGCTTCTACCATCGCGGATTAGCTAAGGGTTATGTCTAAACCTCCGAAGACGTTGTGTCGAAAAGCGTAGTTTTTAGTCATGTGAACAGGTGACTCGACCGAGACAGACCTGCTGCGAATTAAAGGTGGCGCCGCCCGGCCCGTTTATAGTCGGGATCATAGCCCGGCAGCATAGTGGAAGTCCTTACCTTTTGATGCCATACAAACGGTTGCAAATTTATCGCAAAAGAGGTTTGAGGCGACAAAGTCGGAACGTTTATTGCAGTATTTGTGAAGTAGGATGCTTGAGACTTGATAGGTGAAGAGCGCCATTCTATGCAGAGATGCAGACACGCAGAGATGCAGACCGCGGCAACCGTTGCTGAGGAAATGAAGTGGGAACCCGGAAGACGGAAAGGGCCCTGAGGCCCACAAACCTCAATACGCTAATCTTCAATTGCACTCTCCCTCACGCTAGCCACATCATCGTCCCCCGTCCTCCCCCTGAAGTTACTCTCAACATGAACCCCATCAACATCGTGAACATGTTTTCGAGGTACCCAGAACATCTGCAGAATTGCGAGGACTGCGACTCCCGCGCAGCTGAACCAAGCCGCTCCGCTTCCACCACGACTGTAAATGAGCCCAACCAAAGGCGAAGCAACGGTTCGAGCTAAGCAAGTGCCACTCATAGCCATCCCATTGACGCGACCTAAAACCTTCGGGCTGTGTGCTGCGTTTTTCAGGAGGATAAGCCCGCAAGGTATCATGATGATACCGAAGAAGTTCTGCAGAATCAAAGCACCGTAGATACCGGCGGGCATGACAGATGTTGGGAGAACTGAGATGAACGGCATGACAACGTATGAAATTGGGTAGAGTACGATCATTGAGACGAATGAGTACCATACTCCGACTTTCTCGACAAAAGGTGGGAATATGAAGCCTTGAATGAGTAGTGCAATGACGCCGTTGACGGCCATGTATGCCCCAACGTCGTGAACTGTGTACCCAAGGCCACCGTGGAGGTCAAGATGGCCGGGAGCTGTGGTAGGCTTGTCGAGTAGGTAGATCGGCAGCGTACTTCCAAAAGCCATTTGGTGGTATGCGACTAGTACCAATGCGACGGTAAGCATCATGATGGTGAAGTTGTATGGCGAGGGTTCACTGTCAGTCGGAGAGGGTTCAGGCTCCGCTTTCAGGGGAACTTGGATACTGTGGACGGTTCCGAATGAAGAGCGGCGGAGGTCGAAGCGCTGGTCAGTAGACAGCGGCATGCCTTCTTCCATGAATGAGGCACGCTTGCGGACGGCACGGACGCTAGATACGAGGGAACGGGTCCGACTAACGGAGTCTGATCGCGTTGGAATTGAGACTCTGCGCAAGGGGCGCCGCAGAGGGGTGCGCTCATCAATCGCATTGTCATCCTCTTCAACGTGGTGCTTTTCGGGATCCCGAGGATTGGTCTCGTCGAGAAGAAAGAATCCTTGGAGTATGGCGAGCAAGATGACCACAACCGCGACTAAGTTCGGCAAGAGATATGGATATCGTCCGAACAGTCCATCTTCGGGAAAGACAGAGGGATAGAAATGGGCCGGTTGGGCGAGAAAGCCTCCCATAGCTGAGCCGATGATGGAGCCTAGGAACCAAACGAATGGCTGTGTTGCAAACGCCTTGGCTTCAATTCCACCCACAGTTAGCATATTTCTATCCCGTGACCCAAGCAAACACGATTACTTACGCTCGTGTTCTGGCTTTTTCACCATCTCACCAACCATGGTCTGCATGACAGCGACATTCCCGTTCAAGGCACCACCAACGAAGCGTGCCAGCAAAGCAACCCAGTATTTCTGGGCAAGGCCGAAGATGAGGCTGGAGAGTGCGACCCCTCCCAAGCCGATCAGAACTACGGGCTTTCGTCCATAGCGGTCGGAGATGCTTCCCCAGGCCATGGCCGTGAGGGCCTCTGCAACGGCATAGGCGGAGACGAGAAGGCCGGCGTAGAAAGACGCATCGGTGTCATCGCCACCATGCAGGTCTTGCACCATGACATAGGTGTATGCCAAGATCGAGTTGAATGCTATGGGCTCCGAGAATCGGCATATTGCTGCGAGAAGAATTAGCGGTCATAACCAGGAATAGGACGTCCTAGGTATTCTACCCAGAATTGTCAGCTGTCTCGTCGGAAAGGCGTCGGGGTCAGCATTCTGTAGAGGCATTCTCTCGCGACGCGCTCGTTTTTGGGGTGTGAATAGTGTTGAGGGTTTTGTAGGAGAGCTTATCGCCGCTGTGCGGGGTTGGCCGCTCCGTGCTGCGTTTGAACCCTGCAGCCTTAACAGACGCGCTGTAGCCGCTGCGGTATCCACAGATGCCCGTCATGTCGTAACACTGCTTAGAAATTGAAAATGCGTTTGATGGAATCGCTGTATACGAGATGGAGATGGAGATGAGATGGAGATGGAGATGAGATGGAGATGGGGAGGAGTGGTTTCAGCCGGGGTCGGCTCGAAAAGCAAGCATTCAGCCGCACCGTCGCAACGTTGACGACGTCTCGTCTTTCATCAGACCGTGTCTCACCACCATTCACCGAAAAGTTGCCATGCAAACTACTCTCTAGCTCTAGGGACATCAGTCATCATTTCAGCGAGATGGACTTTTCCATTGGCCTTTCTAGTGGCCTCAATTCCTAAGCCTTGCTTCTATCTCTCTATTCTAGAATCTCCCTTCACATCCTCGATATACCATCGCCTTCATTGACACTCAATTTCAGTCACAATCAAGCCATTGAACTCTCTCGTTCCCGTGTCTCTCCTTTGCTGAATTCCAATTCAACATGCTCTGCGAGCTATGCAACTCCATCAACTTCGTAAAAGCCAACGTCGACCCAGGAGAAGTCTGGAGGCTCGGGACTTTTCGCCGTGGTTACAGACATCACCGCAGTGTCTTAGCGCTCCTCGAGTCTGCAGACAATGGTTGCGAGCTATGCAGCGTGCTCTGCCGTGCCGCCAATCTCGACGAGAAAAAGGCACAAAAACATGACCGCATTCATCCCGAGTCGCAAATCTACTGTATCCTGAAGAATAGCTTCAATGGGGACTTTTGCGCTGACGTCAATGGTGATTTGTATCATGGCCGCTCTCGCATCTCTTTCGAACAAGACTGTATTAAGAGCTCGAGGATGACGGAAGCATTCAAATGCGAGCTCAGCATCTTCTGTGAAGAGGGTAGGAGGCTGTCCTCAATCTTATCGCCGGCGCAGAGCTCTTCGCTAATACCTACCTATTAGATTCATTAGCTGCAAATATGGATATCATAAGCGGGCGTGCAATCGTGCCTGCAGACTCAGACGAGGCTATCTCTCTCGCTCAGCGTTGGATTCAAACGTGTCTCCGTGAGCATGGGGATAGCTGTCCCCAAAACGATACGTTGACTTTGCCTACCCGAGTCATCGATGTCGGCGATGCGGCCTTACGACAGCCATTTTTATTCCAAACCGAAGGACATCGAGCCCCGTATATCAGCTTAAGCCACTGCTGGGGAAACGACAAGTCTTCATTTTTCACCACAACATCCGCAACCTTGTCCGAAAGGCTAACTCGAATCGACCTCGATGAAGCTCCCCAGTCATTTCGAGACGCCATCGGCATCACAAGACGGCTTGGCTACCAATACCTGTGGATAGATAGCCTTTGCATTCTGCAAGACTCCCACGATGACTGGGCTGCCGAGTCGAGACGCATGCAGGACTATTATAAGAACGCGGTACTCAATATCATGGCAGAAGCCGCAGAAAGCGACAAGGAAGGGTTCCTCAACATTGATAATCAACATGCATTTAGAAAGCAACGAGTCGACGATGAAGAGATCATGAAAGTTCAAATTCCCTTCCATCAGAGTCTTTCGACCACACCCTCCTCCGTCTCTTTACGCAACCCCCCAGCCCGATTTAGAGACAAGCTGAAAATGCCCACCATATGGCGTGGATGGATACTTCAAGAGCACGTCTTAGCCCCTCGAGCAATCCACTACATCGGGTCACAGATGGTATGGGAGTGCCAGAGATACAAGATATTCGAGGAAGACGCAACGCCAACGATCACCCAAACGTACCTGGACGACTCGACAAAAAGGTTCTTTCTCACGGGAAACGCATCTGAGCTAGCTCGCTACCTCATCAACAACCCAAACGCGAAGGAAGACGAGGAAGCCGATCCGTACGACCCTTGCTTCCGCTGGTACAGAATCGTGGAGAACTTCATGGACCGGGACTTGACGTTCCCAGAAGATCGCTTCCCTGCCATCTCCGGACTTGCTCGTGAGGTCCACGATCAGACTGGCTACACGTACAAAGCTGGGCTGTGGGAGGAAGACATACTCACTGGGCTCCTGTGGTGGACCTACGGCGATGGTGTACCCCCGAAGCAATACCGCGCTCCATCCTGGAGCTGGGCATCCATCGAGACTCCCGACGTCGTGCATAACGGGCTCTACTCCACATTCATGATGACATTCATCGTAGAGAAGCCGCCAAGCGCAGGAGTGGCCACGCTGATCTCAGTTGACGTCGAAACCGTCGATGGAGACCCCTTCGGCTGTGTCAAGTCCGGATCGCTTGAGATGAGCGGCCACTGGATTCCTGTGGCTGATGTCAACCATGATTTGAAACCCGAGCATTTTCACTACGACATGTTGACTGATGGAGTGATCTACATCACGCTCGATTGCAAGCCCGAAGACGCGCCCGAGAAGAAACAGGAACCAGATGTGAGCAAGTTGAGTCTCTTCCGGATTGCGCGAGCGAAGAAGATGGCTGGCGCGTTTACTTGGTATGCTTTGATCCTGGAATCTATCTTTGCCGCTGACGGTACGGAGAGGTATCGGCGTGTTGGGGTGACGGGGATCCCGAATAGTTTCTCTTCGGATGAATGGGTCCTCAAGGATGTCGTGATTCTGTGAAGAGAATAATACCCACGGATACCCCTTAGTCTCTCGAACCGTCTCGTTCTTGCAAAGCCCTTGAGGTGACTTGGACGGACTACAAGAATACAGAATGTGTGGTTGGAGTCTAGCATTTGGGATTACGAGGCCAATGCCGATGGGATAAGCGGAAGGTCGGAGCTGGCAACGTTCGTTGAATGTCATTGGCTAAGTCCCACATATGGGAACGACACGCCCGGGGGAATAACATGTGAAAGACTATGGTCTTGGCGGTTGTATCGAAAGGAACGTGCCGAGACCACGTGATATCTAGCTGATCTTGCCTCGACCTCGCTTCTCCTGGGGTATAAAACCCTTGCCGGCTTTCGCATTCAAATCTTCAGCGGTGCAGGGGGGTTCGATTCGGTTCAGCAAAGACTGAAATGGTAGCTGATGTGGTGGCGGAGCTGGGCGCTTGCAAAACGACGAAGCACAACACCTCATGGGTGCGCTCAAAATCACAGGAGAACACACTTGATGGTACCTGTGGGCCGGGGTTGCAGCATCAACAGAGGGAGCGGGTGGACTACGGGCACCGCAGAAAGGAGGTGAGATGATGACTACCAGTACCACTCTCCCGAGACGACCAGAACTATGCTGTCTGCAATACTTCCAGCATCCTTTTCTCAAAACCGCGGTCAGCGGTGCTTGCATACAACGCTCACCCATCACGTTCAGGCTATACTCACTGTCATCATCAGGGAAGCCACGCGAACCCCCCGTCGCGCCACTCCACCCCCAACATGATAACGTTGACCGACAGGTTTGATACCCAACCCCGATTCCATAACCACGTCGATGGCTTATGTTTACTCCCCAACGACACGGACATCGTAAAGGATGCCGATGTGGTTTTTATCCTCCACAACCCCCTCTGCCCTGGAGAAAAAGTCTCTCTCTCTGGAGCTCGCGGGTGAGATTTTAGAACCCCCCCTCGCTTCCGAGCTCGTGACTCTCACGTGGTCCACCCGTCGCCCCCCTTTTGCGCCCGTCTCGGCCAATTCGGAGAACGCGGCTGGTACGACCGGCAGCGGCGTGACCGCTCACGTGAACCCCCGTGACGCCCCCGCCCTTCGTTCTCCGACGGGTATAAAAGCCTCGTCTCACCCAGCTTCCTGAGGTGGAGATCAAAAAACGGCTTCTACACCTTTCCACGAGAGGCAGAGGTGTGGTGGATCAAATCCTAAAGCCGATGTGTTTCATATGGTGGCTGGAGTTGTGGGGTTCTGCAAAATGCCCAAGCTTTAGGAATCATGGGAAGGCGTGCAAAATCGCTATCATGGTTGTGCCATGGAGCTGGAGAGGGGTGGGTGGAACTTGGGGTGCAAAACGTCCTGCACCGGCGCCGCAATGGGGGTTTGGAGGGCTTAATCTCCCGGAAATGGTGGGCGGTGAGCAAGCTTTTTTTTTTTTTTTTTTTTTTCCAGCGTTGACGACGCCCCAGCCGTGAAGAAGTTCGATGGAGGAGGTGGCAGCTATCTAGACCGTCCGATAACTCGAATCCATCGTGTGCGGGGTGTTGGGTCTTGAAAATAAACCAGACCAATGGTGCATGGGCTCGTCGTGAGATCAAACCGGCCGCGATCCGCGCCCTATGGAGGGTGGGTGGGTGGGAAGTGCAAAAACAGAAAACACGTAGGAGTTTTGAATGGCGGTGGCTGGGGAGTCTGGAGGCTCAGTGCGTTGGAGATGGTGATTAAGTTTATGGCTATCTCCACGCTCTGCTGAACGCTAGACATTCTAGAATATCCCTCGTAGTTGCTGCTGCTTGCTACGAACCGCCTTTTGCAAACTTCAACACCCCTGTCCTTGCATAATCCGACGGTCGAAGGCCTGCGGGGGGATTTTTATACCTCCGCCCAGAGCCTTACTAAGATTGGTTCACGTGATAACTTCGGTAGATATTCACGTGTTATCTGTATGCCACTAGCCCTCGACAACCTTAGGTCTACCATTTAGCTCCACAGAACCTCCGCTCATAGCTCCGTCCATAGCTTAGCTCGCAGCGATATATTTACAGAAGTATCAGCATCCTCACTCCTCACATCAACACGCCCACAGCACCCAAAAGCTTTCGAGAAGGCTTTCATATTTAATACAACATTTTCCTCTTCCGCCACTGCAAAGCTTTCGCCGAACAAAGCCATAGCCCTAGCTTCCCTACAACCCGATCCCATCCCCCAAACCCCCAAATCAAACACCAAAAACGCCAGCCGCCAAAACCCCACGTATACTCCATTCCCATAGAGCCCGGCAGGCATCCCAAATCCCATCCCAAGACCCCACACGCTTCCAGTATCATAAGCCGTACCACATTAGCATATCTCAAAACCCTAATCACAAAAAAAGAAAAGGACAGAAGTAGACGAAAGAGAACAATTAACATTCCGGGTATCTGTTACCCAACCGCATTTGTATGCGAGTCTTGCGTCCCAATAATAACGCCACATGGCCATTCACCATTTTTCACGCCTCCAATCTCCAAAACAGTAGCAAGAATACTCTGGTATGGTGAAAACGAGGGGGAAAAAAAGGGGGTCCCAAATGACAGAATAGCCGATAAGGAAAGAGGGAAGGATGGGTTCCATCGCATCGAGAAGCCCCGGGGGTGGATATGACTAAGCTGTGGGGTTCTCAGAGGAGCGAGCAAAGAAGACTCATTGGATGAGATCTTTGCAGTGGTGAAAGAAACGTAGAAAAGCATCTTTCTGTCGCATGGGGAAGCCTGGAGGAGCGAGCAATGATAGACTCAGCGGGTGAGATCTCTACAATCGAACAATCGGTGGAAGAAACATCAAGATCGTAGAATCGTCATCCAGCGAGTTCATTGAGGGTATTGGTGGAGTCGTTACGGATCATTCGCGCAGAGGGCCAGTGTTGGAATATTGGGGACGAAAGTCGAATCGAAGGGAGGTTTGCTGGTTCGATCTCAAGATCCCATAAAACTCGGTGATCCATTTGCGTGTGGAGTGCTCTCGGCGGAGAGCGAATTGTCGAACTCAGGGCCAGCCATGTTGTCCTGCAAGAGGCCTCTGAAGTCGTCCTCGTTCCACTCCTGCGCCTCAGTCTTCATTGGGTCATCCATTTGCTGATCAATCTGCATATTGAGCTGTCCGTTCGGCTGGCCCATGTGTGGATGCATTTGTTGGGCCGCCGGCATATTGTTGAACTGCAGCGCGCCCGCCGCATACCTGAGGTAATTGTCCACATTCGGATCTCCGCAGTTTGCATGTCTCAGGATCTCGTTCTTCAGGTTGATGATGTAGTTCTGCAGGCTCCGGGTGGTGTTGTCCAGATCGCGCTGCTCGGTCGCAAGCGCCTCGAAGGTGGTCTGCAAGGTCTGGTGCTGCCTCTTCTTCTTCTCGCGGCACTTCTGCGCAGCGAGGCGGTTCATCTCGAGCTTTATTTCCTGAGACTGCGGCCCTTTGGAGCGCTTGCCTTTGCTTCCTTTGCGCCTTAAGCTGGGTGGAGACTGGGCAGCGGAATCTATGGCCTGGAAGACGGTGGAGAGGGAGCGGGAGGGCACTGCTGGGAAGTTGTCGTTGGCGGGTGTTTCTTCGCCGTCAATCTCGATCCGGGAGGACTGTTTGCGGTCGCGTCGAAGGGTGGGTGCTGTGCTTTCTGTCTTGACGGTGGCTGCGCGCTTGCGAGGCCGTGTCGCGGGCTTCGTGTCTTGCTGGCTGCTGTGTGCTGGAGCAGAGGGAAGTGCGGCAGATGTTGACGGGGTTTTGTCCTGGGTGGGTATGCGCTCTGGTGAAGCTTGGCAGGTTGAGGGATCCATAGTTCCCATGGAATCGTGGCGGCTTCCGGGGATGTCCCAGTACCCGCTCATCTGCTCCAGCGGTAGCGAGTCGGATCGGTCAGAATGGTGGCCAGGGCTCTGGTGGTCCGAGTGCGGGGTGTATTGGGGCGTGAATTGGCCGTTGACGAGGAGGGAGGAATGCTTGTCGGCGTACATGTCGAAGGGGCTGTCGAAGGGGCCCATTGTCCACTCATCCGAGGTTGGGAAAGCCATTGCCATTTCGGTATGGGCGGAGATGGTCCGCGCCTCGGAGATAGATAAGCTGTTGCAAAGGAGTGTTCCGGCGGGTTCCAGAGCGTGTGCGAGGGTGTTTGTTTGCTGGTGCTGCGGTGAGCAGGAGAGGGCGGGCAGCGAGGGGAAAAGTCGGCGGGCAGCAACGAGAGAAGTATCAGCAGCGTGGCAGGTGTGCGGGCAGGCTGCGGGCAGGCTGCGGGCAGGCTGGCAGCGGGCAACCACTCAGACGCGCGGAAGAGTGGGCCGGAAGAAGCTCCTGGGCCCTGGCCAGATGCAGGGAGGGGGCCCGTGGTATCAACGGGTGTGCGGGCGTTTGCTGTCTTGTTCTGGCTGGTGCACTGCTTGGTGAGATGGCGCTGCCCGCACGCGCGCCCATGGGAAACCAGCGGCGGTCTGTGCGCCATGGCATTCTTGGGATGCGCATCCCGGGAGCCAACCGCTGACATCACCGGCCCCGCCGGCACCCATCCACCCTGGCCCAGACTGCTGCCCCGAGGCCAATCAAATGGCGAGCAGAGAAGCCGCCGCGCCAATCGCGGCGCTCCCTTGTGAATGAGCCTGCTGGCTGCGTCATTGCGGCCACCGCTAGGCTAGCTCGGGCAGTGCGCGATGCTGGGGGCCGCGATCCTGCGCCACAAAGAACAAATAATTCTGAGGTTCCAGGCCAGTATCCGGCGTCCGGCGTCCAACTGCCGCTTCGAACTATGGGCGCCACAACTGCATGTGGAGCGTCGAACGAGTCGCAGGAGACATGGCCGCAGAGTCCCGCCGCCAACCTAGACGATCCGCCGAGAGGGTCCGAGAAACAGGATTTCTACAGCTGCGGCACCGCACTTCCGACGTGGCAGATGCACATCTCCAGAACCTTCGCCCACCTTCGCCCATCTTCACCCCTGCAGATTACTTCGCGAGCTTCATTCTTGCACCCTCGCTTGGCCCTTGACTTGGCCACCAGCATCGCTCGGCGTTTTCCAGCTTCAACAAGCGAGATTTATAATGCGACGCCATCCCACGGTCCAGCCTTCGAGAGCGGAACAATCATGTGCATGTACATCTCCCGGGGGTTGCAGTCAAGGACCTACCAGCGCTTCGCCCGGGTAGCTTCAAGAACTCTTCCTCATCATCTTCTGCCGTCGTTGCAAACTACGAGAGATCGTCGTGCATAAACAGGGCCGGAGTGAATTCCGACTCATCGTGGGATGCAGGGATATAACGCCCCAGCCGAGAGACCCCCCTGCCCCTGCTCCTTCACCTCCGGAGTTGGACAGATCTAAGCACATCGCTCCCACCAAGTATCGCGTGGCTATGTTTTCCCAATCTCCAGAACCTCATCAGATTGCCCCTTCGGGACCGTCTGATATATCTCTTCGGCCTATGTACCAGATAGATATTATTTGAAGACTTGAAATAATCCTGCATGACCGATGTGAGGTCCTTCGAAGAATCTTTTGCAGCATCCCAGCATGGATTCCGACCCATTTTTGCGCCTCGCAGTCTCCAAAATGTCGTCCTGCATTACAATCCTCGTTCAAAATTGGAGAACATGTCGTCTCGACGGAAGCGGCCTCGGCCCATCGATCGAAGTGGATGGATTCAGGGTACCTCGAACCTAGATGCTACTCGAGTCCCAGCATCTCGGAGCTTACATTCGCCCTGCCATGACCACATGCCAGTTTTTAGGTGGTGCCTTGCCCTATGGTCCCCCCTTAGACGTGTCGTTTCCATCGAATCGCTATCTCGGGGTGCATCTTTCCTCACCAAGCATTCCCCATGCTAAGGACATCATGCATGCGCTTGCGAGGCACTGTGAGGTATTCCACCCCCGCTCATGCAGATTTGCCGCTTTACAGTAGTACCTTTGTATCTACAGCGTCAAGGCTGCATTCCTGGGCCTAGCGCGCGGATCAAGCCCACCAAGCCAGCCGTAGTTCAGACAGAAGCCTGCAATCTGGTAAACTGACGCGTCAGAGTTGCCGTCGCTTGCAGTAGACTACACACGCTCCACACTCCGCTCTCGCATGCATGTGGGCTACCATATCCACGCCAGGCTTCCAGCACGTGACAGGGAGCCTGCAGAAGATGCTTCCCGGTTTTGCTCGGTTACAGAGTTCAGAACGCGCGTTAAGTCTGGCAGCCGTTAAAACTAATTTAGAGTTCGGTTCGTCGCTTCTGGGCCCCGCTTCCCCGCGCTGACTAAGATAGGTCGAGGAGGCCGTGCTGCGAGGCCGTTATCGCATTTAGGTGGGATCCTGATTATTTCTGGTTCATCGAAGCATGGAATCCATCTTCGTAGGTTTCCCACCCAAGGTCTAATAGGTAAACAAAGTGAGTATTTTTTACGGTATACCCAGGTTTCGGATGACTGTCGGACCAGAGATGTTCGATATAGCCAGAGATTTTAAACCGTACCAGGTCTGCTCCACACTCACGTGACCCCCTTCACAGTCTCCTTCTCTACGTCCACACTCTCAAATCCCAGGCCAACGAGCCTAGCTCATACCCACCCCTTTACCACCTCCTCCAATCTCACCCCCACCATTCTCACAACCTCATCCTCACTCCCTGCCCATTTCTCTATCATCTCTTTCGTCTTCGCCACAGCATCCTCGTCATTCCCTTTCCACATCGCCACCGCCCTCACCAGCTCATCCGCCAGCTCAACCCTAAGATAGCCCGCGACATCCACCTCCTCTAGCTCCACATCCCCAAGCGCACACGCCACCCTTAGCTTATGCTCCCTCGGACACATCATCGCCGCCGCCCTCACCTTCCTAAAATCAGCATGATACGGCTTCTTCCCCTCCGCAAACCCCTCAATGAACCCCACAACGCTGTCAGCAAACACCCGACACCTCTCCGCCTCCCCCTGCGACGACGGAAGACTCGGATATGGCAGCAGCAACACCCGTAACTCGAGCGTAGACGGGAGATACGCCGGCACGCGCCGCGGATCCCGCTGCCACGCCTCCGTCCGCAAGCCGTCGATATACTCGACGAGCTGCTCAACGAGCGGCTTGATGTTCTCCACCCACGCCTGCTTCCCTGCCGCGTTATCGGCGGTCAGCGGACGGAGATCCGGGTCCAACACCTTCATTCTGAACTGCTTCCACAGCCCGAAATTAGGTTCAGGGCATTGGAGGACCGCCTTCGCCTGCTCGAGCACCACGCGCTCGACGTCTGCAAATTCGATGCCGTCGGGCACCTCGCTCGCCTGCCAGGGGCGTTTGAGCAGGGAACAGAGGTTCACGCGCTGCAGCATCCACACCTCGGGCGCGGCGTTGAAGAGGTGCAGGAAATTCCCGTTCTGGCTGCTCTTGCGCTCGTCCGCGGGGAGCGTCAGTATCATCTCCCTCAGCGTGACCAGCGCGGCCGGCGGGTGGATATTCAGCAGCACGTAGGCGTGGTAGATATCCAGATACTTCTTGGGCGTCCACGTCGGGTGCGTCTCGACGATTTGCAAGGCCTCGGGCCGGAATGGGATGCGCGGGAGGTCTGAGGCAGAGAGCGCGAAGCCGTGCTGCGCAAGGAAGATCGCGGCCCAGCGAGCGAGGTTGCGGCGGGAGGCGTCGGTGATGGGGAGGAGGATGGTAGTGAAGATTTGCTTGCGCCAGAAGGCGCTGTGGGTGGAGTTCTTTACGAAGCGCGCTATAGCTTCGAAAATCGGCGGCCAGGTGGCGAAGTTGCCTTCGTCGTAGACTTCGGGGGCTGTTTGGGTGGATTCCGAGGCCTGCCATTCCGCTTCGGTTAGGTGGCGCCGTTCGTTAAGGCTGCCCGCAATAGGGATGGTGGTTTTGAGGGATGTGAGGAGCTGCGTTGCTAGTGGATTAGAGACGTCTTCGGGGCATTGAAGGAGGAGGTTCAGCATTGCGGTGATGACGGCGACGCGGATGTCTAGGTGTGTGGAGTTTTGGAATATGTCGACGAGGACGTCGACGGTGACGCGTTTTGAAACGAACTTTCCGCCGTCGAGGAGTTGTGCGAGGTATTTGACGGTCGTGATTTTGATGAGGGATTTTGAGGGAGTGGTGGCGGCCTTTCCAGCGCTCGTTGGTGGAGGGCGTTGGGATTGGGTTTTCAGCTTGGCGGTGATGCCGGATGAGAAGGATTGTATCGTTTCTCGAGCTTGAGAAGCTGGCAGGCGGCATAGGAAGGTTTTCGATAGCCATTGTCGATGCCACGAGCTGGCGTCAGGATTCTCGATGGTGGTTTGCGTTATCAGGGATGAGGCGAACTGTGGGCGATCGCTTTTCCCTAGGAGCGTGACGAGACTATATGCGATGCGCTCAGCTTCCACTAGATCCGTTGGGTTGTTGGATATGGCATTCAATGCTGATTTGGTAAGTGACTGAAGCACGCTCGGTGGTACTGAAGCGATATGCCGTGCCAAGATACTTCTCGCATCCTTTTCCTTCGTGTCTAGGTTGAGGAGAAAGTCCTCGTCGAGGAAAAGCGACGGGTACCTGATGTCAAACGAAGAGGGGAAAGGGGCGGAAAAGAGTCTGGATGGCCCTTTTATTCTGCTGTCCAGAAGTAGTAGTGCTGAAGCAATCTGAGCTTCCCTAATCTCCGGTGAAGGCTGCACTTCAGTCGGATAAAGTTGCTCCTCGGTCAGGTACGCCTGTGTCGGATACGCCCACCGGCGTACAGATTTCTTCTCTAAAAAGGTGATTCCATGTTCCGGGATTTTCATGGGTCTGAAAGGTACTGCGAGATCTGAGTGATTCCGGTTATCTTCTACAACCGAGCAGTCCAGCCTCGTCGGGGGAAGGTTTCGAATGGGAACTATTGGTTGCGTAGGCTTGAAAGGGTTCCACTCGACGGTCTCTGAAGGATCAACTTCTTTTGGAAGCGGTTGATATTTTTGGGTGGAAGGTTGGTACTTGTGGAAGGTGGTGAGTTTTCGTGGAGGCATCCCCTTTTTTCCAAGGGTACCGGTAAACTTGGGATGCCAATACTCTTCCGCTTCTACATTCGACATTCGCCTAGAGCTTAGAGGGCCTACAGCATGATTCCACGCAAGTGTGATCCGCTTTTCTCTTTCGTCGCCCTCGCATGACGGAGGGATGTATATTGCTAGAGCGGCACAATAATCGTCAATGAACGATCCTACTGCGAGTCTTGTCTCGTCATCCTCGGGCAATGGTGCGAGAGCTTCGTCCGGATCCTGGAACACGATAGCACTAGCGCGAGACGCCATGTATGGAGTCAGCTTCTCGGGAGGAAATGCTCTCATCTCCCAAGGGTCAGTAAGGAACTGGATACCCAGACCTCGAGGCCATGGCGAGGATAGAGATGCCGTAGCTGGAACTATAGTAGGTCGATATGCGCACCATATTTCATTTCGGGCCTTGGCAAGGTTGTCAAAGAAACGGTAGGTAGCAGGAGCGCCATCAGTAATAGCGTAGGGCCCATCGAAGCTGCTCGTCCGGAAAGGTGCATATGGATGTCTGAAGCGCAACTGTTCGTTCTCGCTTTTCATAGCCTCCTTCTCCACCTTAAGAATCAATTCTAGTGAATCTTTCCAGAGCACTTCGTATGTCATATCATCCGAGAGATTGAGGGTTTTCTGAACTTCCTTGGATCGCTCGACGCGGAGGAGGGTGACTTCTCTAAAAAGATCTAACGGCGCGTTCCAGTCGGACCTTTGAAACGAAGGTTCCTTCAAGGCCATACATGCCGTCTCGAAAACTTGGTAAATTATCTGATTCGCCTTCACCAATCTTGAGCGCAAGACGTCTTTGGGTAGATCGTATGATATGACTGTTGGGATCCCCGAGAGAAGCTTAAAGCTTTCAGTAGTATCCAAGGTCGACCTGTCATTGCTGTAAAGTTCCTTGGCGGCGAGCTAGAAGCTAGTCAGTGTGGTCTGCAGGGAGATGCGTACGTCGTACAGGATCACGAATGTACCGGCGCGCCCACAGCAGCGTTTCTTCGTAAAGGTCCAACGAGCCACTGGCAACGGCATACCAAATTGCCGAGTTTGCGTAGAAGGCTCGATCGGTCGGCTCACGGCTGACGGCCGACCTCTTTCTCCGATCATCGACAGCTGCGAATGTCAGTACTGTTCCAGAAAACCCTCGAGCTGACATACATTTCTTGACGCCAGCCAGCCATTCTTCGGACACGTCGTTTTTTTCTAGTAGCAACAGCAATAGCGATGCGTCGCCATACTCTGTGTCAATCATTGGAGAGCGATAAAGGATAGAGGCGCGTTCTCCTAGTGTAAGGAATTCCTCTTCGGGCTTGGCCTTACGGAGGCGACGTAAGAGCGCTATTGCATCCTGGCGCTCCAATGAAAAGAATAAGCCAGGTGGGCAGTTTGTGATCGGAATACTCCTCAAATCCTCAATCCTGTCAATATCGCCACTGTTTTCGTCTTGAGCCAGGAAACAAAACCGGAGTAGTTTGTAGCGGAGCGATTTTTGGTCTTCACGGACAAGTGCGCGAAAAATACCATGGTAGTCGGCGATGGAGCTTTTGGACCGTTTCAGCGCGATTTGCAGGAGCGTCAATAGTTGACCTTGAAACATCTGCTCCTCGTTTGACCAACACCGAACGATGTAGTAGACAAAATCACTGTTCAAATCAACTTCGCTAGCGGCACTTGGGTGCAGCTTGATGTACGCCAGACTGAGGTCCACGATTTCTTTGATTCGATCCCACTCTCTCGTGAGTTTGAACTTTCGGTACGCTCGGCGTATCAGCGGCTCTACAAGCTCTCGTATAAATGTCTTCTCGGATATAGTTGCCTTCTCGGATTGGACGAGCTGACGGAGAAGATTCAGAGAGAATAACATGGATTCGGAAAGGCCGGGGGCTTGGCTCGAGCGCGGTGGGGAGTGTCGGAGAAGACTTGGAAGATAAAAGGTGCTCGCGGTCCTGTCTTCACTTTTCGAGAGAATCTCTTCGACGCATATCTTTCTGAATAAGTCCGGGTGATGCTTGACAAATAATGTTGTGTGGTGATCTAGGGAAGAAGTTCTCCAAAGTTGGTCTATGGTTGTGGCTGCACAGCCTGGGAGAAGGTCCTCGGCATAATCGTTGAGAGGGCGGTCGTCCAAAACTTTTTGGGTTTCGGAGTCTTCGTTCTTTTTAAATAGATCAGGGTGAAGGGAACGGACTAGTCGGGTAATCACCTCTCGCTTTTCCTCAACGTCCACGCCCGAGCCGCATCTACCGATTGTTATAGTGAAGTATCGAACATCTGATACAGAGAATTGGCTGAGCAGAGATACAACTCCGGATATTTGGCCGACTCCGTCCCATGTTTCCCTCCATTTTGCTCCTCGTAATTCTCTGCCTAGTTGCCTGATTGCTTGTCCCCGCACTAGCGCAGAGAAGTCTTGATTCAAGGCGTGCAAAAGTGTACGTGGAGTTTTGCGAATGCTGAGCCAGATCTTGAAGGTGACAGGAGAGATTGATTCGTTCTTCACACTTTCGAGTAGGTGGGCTGAGATGACGTCCTCAGTTGTCTTAGCCAATGCGTCGAGAAGATGGCGAGCGACGGTTGATGGAGCACCGTTTCGTAGAACGCGATTATCGACAGACATTTTGCTCTGGTAACGAAGATGTTGGCACGTATCGAGGTGCTGGGGATGACTGGCAGCTAATGTCAGCATTGTAGTTTCAGCCCCGGATGGAGCTTGCACGCCACGTGATATGGGGCCAATTCGTATATGCAACTTTCGTGGGTCAAACTCTTCAGGCGATTGAGTAGTCATTTGGTGATTTGATGCTAGAGTCATGCAAAACTGTGTTTGTCTGTTTACGTGAAGTATTATATGACAGCCAGTCATGTGAGCTCGACATTGGTAGAAAGAACACAGGACTAGAGCATTATTATTATTATTAAATTCTATTACGCTGGTGTAGCTCCCGTTAGGGTC